TTGTTTACTTGTTTTCCTTTTTATCAACACTAATGTTGATGTAAAACTTTCCTGCTAGAAAGACGTGGAAAGAGCTACTCGCGAGTAGACATGTGGAGATAGCGCATGAGAACAAGGATGTGGAGGAAGGTGATGGGGAGTGACATGATTTAAACGCTTCAAAAAAATTCATGGGCGTATTTCAAGGCATTAGTGTGCGACTTGGATAGCTCACATGCATACATGCAGTCCTTCCATAGATGATCCTTGTAGTTTTCTTGTATTTTTATTACCGTGATAAAAAAATACAGTTTCAACTAATTGAATTGTAAACTACTATCTCTTTCCACACCGCATAAAATAGCACATATAGATACCTTATTTTGTTACAATATTTAGATTTTACTTGAAAATAATTTGTTTTAGATCATTTTGTTTCTTTGTCTGTTCGTATTGCTTTCAATAAATCCGTTGTGCGTCTGTTTGTTGCTTACATCATGTGTCAGCAGAAACTTCGTGTGCCATCGTCAATCAATTTTTTGGCATCTTATAAATGTATATTCACTTTTGTCGTTTTAAACAACGACAAGTTGGACGCCTTTCATGTCTACTCTGCCAGCGTGCGCAGAATAATAATGGCCTCCACCGACCGGCAGCCAGTTCGTGTTCCACGAGGCACGCGGTCGCGGCTCCGCGCTGTCGCTGCATGGGCTGGAACTATAGCCCCAATAATTGACCAATCATTGAATAAGCAAGTTGGCTCCGGAGCAGAAATAATATGGATAAGTTGCTCCATCCATTACTCGAATAAATCCATAATTTTAGAGTTGTCTTAAATCAAATATTTTTAAATTTTAATTTTAAGTTTATATGTAAAGATGCTAAGAATTATGACACAAAATCACTGGAAAAAATATATATTGTGTAATATGCTTATTTTGTGTCATATTTGTGCTAGTTTTCTATAAATTAGGTCAAACATAAAAAATAACTTAAGATGACTCCTAGAAACGGGATTTATTTAGAGATGTAGTAGAGTTGCTTGCTTATCTTGTTGAGCAAATTAGGTCAAAACATAAAAAATAAATTAAGAATTATAGATGAATACCGTATCAATCATCGTGCAGGTAAAATTCCACATCGCATTTGTTAACATGGTCTATACTTTAAATTCCTAAGCAGTTTGGTCTATATTTGAGTTATTTTAGAGAGTTTGAGTGTAACCAATAAAAAATCAATTTAAATTAACTAATATTAAGAAAAGATTGTATCAAACTTATTCTCCTATGGGGTCTGTGAATCTCTATTGTCTTTTACCTGCCACATAGTCAATAAATAAGAAGACAAACTACACTTTGACCTATGGGGGCAATCACTCACGACTTTACATATAAAACATGATTATTATAACATACCTAACTTTCAAATCTTGAAAATTTTCAATCAATACAAAATCTCATCTTCACAAGCAATGTAAAAATTTTAGCTTTACTCACATCGGATATTGAAAACTCTTATTGTTTTATGAGTTCTCCATGATAAAGGTCACCGGATCAATGGGCGTTTAAGGATTCAGCATTCGACGTCCTGACCTCATTAATTGGCATATTAGCCACGTTGGATCTGCATTGGCATAGTTCAGCGTATATTGACAATACGCTTCATTCCTCATACCTCAGCGTTCACCTCTAAAAGCGCCAAGGTTTCGTGGTCTATTTGTAGAAAAAAGTTTTGTCGTGGGTGTATTTGGCCTGAAAATGTTTTAAAAAAGGATTAAAATGTAAATTTTTCACTATCTCTCTGCCCACATGAGTGTAGCATGCCAGTACGTGCTCCATATATCTATTAGGAAAGACCCTATGCATGGCATGTGCAAAGAAGTTATTTACTCTTACTAATTACGAAAAATAATTTTAGAACATAGGTCTCCTGATTAACAGATACTGTACGTGCATTTTTTTCTCCTGATTAACAGATGCGTGTATTTTTGAATGGACGTAGTATTCTTATCTACTTTCACAGATGTTGTGAAGCCACCAACTGTCGTAAATCACGACATTGTTTGTTCTTGTTCTTTGAAAGATCATCACCGTATTATGTAATATACTGATATAATTGGAATCCTGGAAGGATTTTGGAGGGATGGATTTTTTGGAATAGTGAGATGGACACGTCACATCATGCGTGGTGGTCAACAACGGGCGTGTATCACGCCACATATATTATATCTTGTTTTCTTTTTAGCAAGGCACACTATAGTATGTTCATTCATCTATCTATCCTGTTCCCTATCAAATTTGGTCCACTGAACTCATCATCACGCCGAAGTGGGGGACCGGGGGTGTCTTAGCTTTTGCTCTATTTGGATCTTCGTTGTGGCATCGCATATTTTTTGCAAGCTCTTTTATTTGCAAACAGACACTTAAATCGGGGGTAATAGGAAAATACAACATCACCTGCATGCATTGCATTGGCGGAGTTCGCTTCTTTAGGGTCTACCATCAACATTATATATATTATTACAGTAAGTGGGATGAAGGGGTTGTCATCACACTTGTTGTTTTTATGCTCTGATGCTTTTAAGTCCGGACAAAAGCTTCCACCAGTTCTTTGCACTCGATCTCATCGAGATCGACGGTATAATTATCATGGCCTTCATCTAAAGCCAAAGGCCCGTACTCGTTGAGATGGACGCTAATGCTCATGACATGCATCTAAAGGCGAAGGACAAAGGATGCATGGGGGCTAGTCTGTTTGTTGCACGGAGGTTCATACGGCCAACCAAGTTCTTTATGAGAGACAAAGAGAGGTCTACGCATTGGTATCCGAATTGGCTTGTATCATGGCTTAAAAAGGCTATATTACAGTAACTCTGAGTGACTCTTTGTATTTTCCCTAATTTATAGTAGAGATTTTGGTCTAATAGTCTTCTTTAATTAAGATCTCCAAATAGAGATATCCTCCGGTTCGGATTTCTCGCTGTACCCAAATATATGTAGTGCTGTTATAAAGCCGGGTATAAAAATTCGATTTTACTCAAATGATAATTTAGAGAGTCAATTTTAGAAGAGAGAGACTCTTGGACATGCTTCCAGAGAGGCTGCTTAGAATGGATTTTCACTCCACCTGACTCTTTTATCTCGTATGTCTAAAAGTCATCTATCTCTAGGAATCGATTTTTTTGTATAGGCATAAGCCAAAAACTGGCCGCGACTATGTCGAAATATAGAGGCATGACGCGGGACTAAATCTTAACCACCCATAGAGATTTGAATCTAGAGGCAGCCTAAAATCCGACCAAGGCTTGAAAACGCGAGGGATCAAACGCTTATGACCTTAAGCTTCCTTCCTTACCATACTTCACCCCAAAATCATTTCACTTGTGATCTAATGTCTGACACAATTTTTAATCACTTTAGTGGGTATTGTAGTTAATATTCTAGGATATAAATAAAAAATCATGGAAAAAGTTTGAACAAAAGTTCTAGATCTACATGATGCACTACAACAGGTGGATTCTCCGTCAGAATTGATGCGGAATTTGAAAAAATAAAATTTGAAAACTTTAAACAATATTTTATGCCTAAATAATTCCAAAGTGAAAAATTCATCAACTATTAAAGTTTGTCCACCTAATTTGATTTGAAAGTTATGAATTTTCATGTGCTGCACTATTTTTAGACCAGCACGGATTACCGACCGTCTCTAAGTCCATTTCTACGTGCTAGTGAAAATTTTCAATTTCTAGAAATAGTGATTTGCCCAGGGTGATTGAACTATCTAGGCCTTTAAGAGAGGGTATTTCTAGAGGGGCCTAGTAAAATTGATTTGCCAACTTTGATAGTAAGAGTCAAAATTTGCAAGTCAACCGCCTCTAACAATTGATTTTTAGAATGGATTGACTCAAA